GAAAAAATAGATTTTTCATATGTTTTACTATGTGATCGACAAAAATTACGTAGACTTTTGTCCAGTGAGTGTATATACGGTATCAGCTCTATGCCAGGGATTTTCATATTCTATGTTCGAAATTACATTCATAGTGGCTACTGCTAAGTAAGGATATTTGCGACATGACAGTTACTAGGAAAGAAAAAAAAACGAACGAGTACATTACATGATTACCACGCCTAACTATTTTGGTAAATCGAGAATTATTAATCTACTTCTTATTCAAACGAACTTCAATTTCGAGAATTGCATATTATGATGTCACCGCGGTCAAAAAGCGCAAATGAAAAAACTCACATGATTATCAGACATAATATTGTATGAGAGCAAAATAAGAAATGAGTTATGTTTTTTCGAACGATTTATGAATGATTTCACTTCATCTACAGCGCAAAAAGATAGTCGAGACGATCGGAGTGATATAAGGCTATTCATAACGCACGCTGATATAATATGATGTGGTTCGAAAACCAGTTTCCCTCACCTGACATTATGAAAGTATCCGAATTGGCATGATTATAACTACTATTTCTTATTGCTTGAATGGCCTATAAATTATAATAGTCATCTTTAACTTTTATTTTAACGTCGGATCGGGCCCCCAGTTCTCACCTCCTGAATCATTTAATCTTTATTTGGTTAATATCAATTGAATAAGGTGTCACGTGTAAATTTGTCACATGGGCGAGATCTGATACTTTAACAGTTCCAATATTATGTATAAGTCTACAAGTTTTATGAAATTCTACAGAGTTGAAGATGTTACCCGCTCTCTTCTTGTTAGATTTTGCTAAGTCTGATCGTCGAGATTGTAATACACAATTTTCGAATGTTATAATCGGGTGTCAAGAGGGATTACATCTTCTGGTGATGGATGTAGCAATAACGATACGACGAATGGGTCTAATACAGAGGTTTAATGGTGATATTTGAGATATCAAAACTTTGAAGCAAGCCTTGTTTCATGTGTTTACCATTTACTATATGGGTGCATCTTTGTGATTTACGACTGGTGAAATCGATACGCTTACGTGAGGTAATACCGGTAGCAAACGGTCTCAATGTATTTCCTTCTCGTTTATCGAACGCTCGCCGATAGATTTCAATTTGAGTCAGAAGCTTACAAGAATATTCTTCATTTGGTAGAACGTGCAATAGTTACAATGGCATGCTTAAGCATTCTCAGTGCATCAAACGATCTTTTGTCGCTACTTCATATTACGGATATGTAAGAAAAAAACTTGCACTTTTTAAGCCGACAGCCGAGGTTCCGTTAACAAAAACTACTCTAAGGCATGCATAAAGGAAACAGAACAATTTTCTCTTACTACCGGATAAGGGAAGTAAAGAAGCGAAGAACCAAACAATTAGTGACTTAAAGTCAGATTGTTTGGATCTGATGATTTCATCCTGATCGGGATGTTTGATCACTCGTGTCCATCTTCCATGTGTATGTGTTTATTAGTTGTTAAAATATATTGAACTGTTATTTTTTTTGGTACCCTGCCGAGGATGCTGCTATTCGTACTAAAGGTTCCAAAAAAAATTGGAAAAAACTTTTGAGTTTAATGAAGAGCTGAACATGTACCTTGAAGAATATTAAATCAATAGTGATAGGAATAGGGAAGTAAGCGAACAATTTGTGTATGTAATATATTAGGCATTGCGTATAGTGGATAGAGTCTTCGGCTTAAGAATTTACAGATCAATGGTAGTAACTTGGTTTTTCATAATATTTATTGGGCACATGTGTCGTTGACCACAATTCAATACTACATATTTCATAATAAATTAATAAAATTACAGAAAATTACTATACATTTATACTATTGACTACCGTGAATAAGCACCCCCAAGATTACTTAGATTAACTACATGACGTGCCTCCCCCACTCACTGTTCATTACGTGAGTATACAAAATAATAGTACGCTTCTAGTTACTGCAATTACTGTTGTAAGCTACCCCTCAACGCTGCGCTGTTGTGGATTATATTTTACGTAATGATTTGCCGATCATTTTAATAATGTCGATAAGAGTTGACGATGATAGGGTTAGGTGTTTATTCACGGTAGTATACGGTATATACAAAATGAAATGTCATTCCCTAATGTGCTCAGAGGGCCAGAGTGAATGAAGTAGACTGGTAGAAGTTGTTTTGTGGTAACTTGGGGATTGCAACCATTGTACCTAAACCACTCCAATCACATTGCTTATGATAGATAGAACTGAACCCCTTATAGACTAAAAATTCGTGTGGGAATGACGATTATTCAAGTTCAGTCGTCAAGGATGTAATCACTGGACCTAAATCACTCTACTTGCATTTATTGACCAGTTCATATAATATAATTTAACGGGATTTTTTCTTCCCCGGTTTCGGGACATGGATAAGACAGCGTGTTCAGGCTTATGAATATCAAAGAGCGATAAAGACTAACCACCACGAATTTTAATTGGTGAGTTTATATTGTAATGTAACTTAACCTGGAGTCAACTTAATTCAAAGCGATATGTCTCGTAAATTGTTGCAGAAAAAGTTGTACAAAAACCGTTAAAACAATGCGAAGGAGTGAAAACGCCATCACAACTGGCAATAACAATAAAATAAACGCCATCTTATTTTTTCAAAATTTATTAGTTATGTAAACGCATACTTTTTAAACCAGCAACCTTCAAGTTTATTTGACTCATCACCTCTCTCATATAATCTCGATCTTTTTTATGCAAACAATCTCCCTGTAACAGATTTTATTGCGCGTTAAAATAATGCTTATTATTCTACGTGCTACTAATTATATACGTACTTACTTGGTATTTATCAATAGTTCTAGTTATCTTTACAGTACCAAGTTAAATGCAGAAACTTTACGACGCATTATGAGTCTCACTAGCTGAGCCACAATATATAGGTCGAATTGATATAATATTGCTGTCATTATCGATATTACGGCGATCAGTTTAATTAAATTATATTAATATGCGTGGCTTTATCAATGGCCAGTATTCTTATTTACAGAACAATTGCGATATTATGTCATTAAATGCTACAGTCACACCCCTATTAAATGGTTACATCATATAACACACACAACGTTTTTTTCCGAACCATTTATTTTCTTTTACTGTTCCATATTACGCAAACAAATTATTCAATACTCCGTCACCTACTTTATCTTACGCACACACGATACGATCGCAACAACAACTCAACTAAACCAATTTTTTGCCGGAACTTCGTATTATACTGTACATAGACACCGCAAAGCCTCTATTTATTGCGCGCGTCGTTTACGCCGTCTCTTCTAAAGCGTAAGTACAACGAAAAAATTTTTGTCACTTACCCTATATTACAATGTGTAAAAGAAACCTCGCGCTTTTAAGTCGACATTTAAAATTTTGTTCCGTTGCAAGAAAAACTACGCCTTTTGCATACGTAAAGCAATCCCTCCTACTATCAGCCAAGGAATTAAAAAGCGACTTATATGCTTAATAGCTGTTAAATAGGTTAAAGTTTTTTTCTTTTTGCCTCGCGCCGGTTACTACTAAAGTTTTGCTATTACCAAAAGGATATAACCTAACCGATCATTATCGAAAATGGCGATTTTATGATTTGATCAGACGTACTTGAAGGACATTACGGCGATAGGGAAGTAGGCGTACATTTGTTTATGTAATTGTATTAGGCATTGCATATTGTGGATAGAGCCTTTTGGCTTGGCTTAAGAATTTGTAATGAGTGAGAATTGCGATCACTGGACCTAAACCACTCCACTTGCATTTGCCTTTATAAACATCTGCGACGTATGGGGATTGCTATCACTCATATTTCTCCAAAATAACTTGATGTTTGCGATCGGCAAGTGTATCAGGCATTGTTTATAGTGGATAGAGCTTTATAGGTAAAGACATAATCGCTGGCTTAGCTTAAAAGTCTTAATTCCATCAACGGTATTGGATTACGCAAGGTTTAGTGGTATTTTCCCGAACCATAACAGTGCATTAATAGTAGCATAGCAAACCGTAGAAATAAATGTCACTATTGTCACAAAGAATATATTCGAAGTAGAATAGCGAAAAGGTTACTGCCAATAACAATATATATTGTTGCTTTTAACGTGCAAATTACCGGTTATCTGGAACACCTATACATCACTGTCTTCGAAATCTCAACTGTTCAGCATTGGAATTAATAGTTGGCAAAACTTAGAAGTTGATACATGCCAACGTAATCTAACTTTAGATTCCTGATATTTTTTTGACTAGTAAAGGTTGGAAAACGGGTGGGGAAATTATTTTTTTTTAAGTACACAAAGTAAGCGTGAAGAAGCTGTATTAGTATATGATACTATTTGTTAAGACTTCATATATTGCACAGAAATAACCGATTAGCATTAGAATATATGTATTTGATATTTCGCAACGCAATATTTTAATATTTGGAATGTTGCATTGACATAACTATTTACTTTTCACATTACGGAACAATAACGCTGCGGCTAACTAAATTTATACACGCTTTACTGTATTTGTGAGTCACCGGTTGAATCAAATGATAAAGATTAATCAACTGCTGTCGCTTTTTGTTACGAGACAGCTGTGCTGTGGTCCGATTCCTAAGAACCTCGTCTCTCACACGGGCCTCTTTCTCGAGACTTTCGGCTTTCCGTTTACGACTACTCCTTGGCCTGGAGGGTGGAGGCGGCGTCTCAGCTTGTACTGGAGCAGCTGATGAGGGTAAAGCCGTGTTCAAGGAAGGACGTATCGAGTCATTTGAGGCATCTAATGTCGTATCAAGCTCTTCTATCGTTAAAACTTTGTCGTGTGATACATTAGATCGTTCACCGGTAGTCTGAAGTCGAACTCTAAGTTCAGTAGTAACCTTTTGTGAAGACATTAGAGGCTTTATTGGAACCAGCGGCGACCGTACAGTCGTATCTAAAGTTTGCGTAGGCTCGTTTGAGGGATCCGTATTTGCGTAGAGAAAGGAATCTAATATTTGCGAAACCGAAGAATCAACAGGCACTGAGGTCACCATGCCGTCGTTCCCGTTTCGGGTAGACTGTTGGAGCATGGAGTTGGTTGAGCGTTGAGACGACGAGAACAAGGTAACCCTTTAGATGCGTCTCTTAGTTTAAGAAAGCTGCTAGGTGGAGAGCCCAGTATTGAAGACGGAAAGCGCGTTGTAGTAGCAAACGTAGAAAGCCATTGTCCGTGATTATCGTACGTGTGTATGCTTGGAAAGTCCAGGCAATATTCACAGTGTGGCTTTTGCTTTTTTTTCCAGCCTTACTTTCTTTATATCATATTCACAGCCGCTGTGTTTATTTTCCATTGGTTTAATAAGGTACATTCACTTAGGATAATAAAACGCCCATAGTCAGGTATGTGTGTGTGAAACAAGTACTGGTCACGTAAATGCTTGTGAAAGAGATGAGGAATTTGGTCATTCTACAGGATATGAAACGCAGGCTCACTTGTAGATTGATAAAGGTAGAATATTTCAATACTTCTTGGTGATTGTCGTTCCATATTAATATGTGCACAGATACCCTTTCTGGGTAATGTTGGGTTTTTTGCAGACAGTCATATGTTTATCAAATTCATTGTTGTTACAAATGAGTCGAAACAAACGACCTTGTACAACATCCATATGTAACATGCCAGTTAATGACTGAGAGACGTTCGTGACTAATAACTATCGCGAGGAACTTTTATTCACAACGAGGTGCTCGCTAAAGCCCAATTTAAGCTGTTGTTCGTGACTAATAACAAAGTCATGAGGCAATTGTTATGGTGTTACAAGACTAAAAAGTCATTTTGTACAAAAAGGACTTGTAAAAATTTCGCAAAACGATCATTCTCATATTACTGATTCTGGGAATTGACCCATTCTAAGAATGGGTCAACCCGTTCTGGGAATCTCAGAATGGGCCGGTCCGTTTTAAGATGGGACAACTGTGAAAAATTTTTTCATCACAGTAACACACACAAGATCTGTACGTTTTACGTTTGTTTGCTAATCTAGAGCTTTGC